GGGATGTTACAATATATGCGCAATCCATGGATGAAAATGTTAAAAAAATGTGGATTTTAATGAAGAAAAGGTAAAGGTGTTTTATTCAACATCTATCGCTGGACATTCATCAACGTAAAGAATATCATTCAATTTTCCATTAAGATTTCTATAAGGAAAACCAAGTTATTTTTACTATGATGCCATAAAATTTAATTTATAATTTTGGAAAGGCATAGACATTGTAAAAAAAAACAGGTTTTATGCATCACCCTTTATTGTTGTTATTTATATTTCTTTTTATTGAAGGTCGTTCTTGTATATCTCTGGGACGTAGTTCATTTAAATCAAATAAATTCAGATGTTATTTTTCAAAAAGTAGAACAAGTAAGGGAAGAACCCGATCTACATCAAATATAAACACAACATAATCTTCAAAGTTCACATTTCTTATTTCTAAAAGTTGGGAAAGCTGACTAAAATCTAACACATTGGTCAAGAGTCTCATTTAAAGAAAGAAATGAATGAAGTGGGAAGATCATTGATCATGATTTTATTTATCAAGAGATTTGAAGAGAAAGAAATGGAAGATCTATGCTAATATTCTTTAGAAACTGTCCTCCCAAATAAGGAGGATTAGAAAGAAAGGAAAGGAAGATCATTCCCTTTCTTTTCTTTTATCTCGTTTTCTTTTCTTTTCTTTATTTAGTGAACTGGGGAGCAGAGCATAAAGGTATAATGGAATAACTAGATCTAGACATTATCAAATCCCACATCCGAAATAGTTCACATATGGAATATTCATGGTTATGTATAATAAACACCCGAGGGAAGATGAATCTAATGAGATTTATGAACGTTAGAGGATGGAGACTCAAGATCTAGATTCAAACGATCCATTTTTCAATTGAGGTGAATATAGATAAACCAACATACTTCACATGTCCTTCAAACAAAAATCTGGTGTAGCACCTTCCGCCTAATTTGACTCACTTTCCTTCATTCCTGAAGTATGCATTATTTTGCCACACATTGTATCAAGAAAACACATAGATCAAAACAACTAAAGAGAGAAAGATAAGAACCTCATGGAAAAAGGTGTTAGAACTCTTTAAATTCTTTAGAACAACTGAACAATCAATAAGAAAATATGCACTTATATGCATAAATTGAGTACTTTAGAGAACAAAGAAAGGGAGAACTAAACTTTTGATAATTCATGCATATCAGGCCACTCGTTACAGTGGCTAGTGAGCCCAAGATAACCAGAAGTTTCAAGCTTTTAGCTGCTTCCCTTGACTTTATCATTAAGTTTACTAGGGTTTTTTTATAGGGAAAATGACTTTAAATGACAACCAATAACTTAAAATGTGTTCTTTAGGTCACTAAACTTTTAATTATATCCAATAAACTAACCAACCTTTTATTTTGGTTTTAAAATATCATCCATTACGATTTTTATTAGTGAAGATAACAATAAACATCGTCATTGACCTTACCATATCTAATTAAAAACTTCTAGTAATCGTTTTTCTCAAACCATAATTGATAACCATTAGTAACGCTATATTATTTTGTGATATTGCTATTCTAATCGATAAAAAATCTATGCAAGTAAAATTTAGTTTTAGAAAAATGATTACTAAAAGTTTAGATTTAATAATGATTACTTTGGATTATTGGTTTCCATTTTAAGTCATTTTACATATAAAAAGGATAAATTATAAAAATGGTCCCTATGATTTGATGTAATTTATGCATTTGGTCCCTAACATCTTTTTTAACTCGGTCCATCCTTATAGTTTTATTTTGTTGCGAATTTTGTCCTTACCATACCTGAATCGACTAATATACCATTTCTTATTAATTTTAGCTTTTTTTATTAGTATTAGTATTTTAATGATATTTTAAGATAAATGTCCCCTACAACACCCATGACCGTCCCCACTCCTTTCTATGTTACAAAACGTAGCTCCGACACTACCTCCGTCAACACCACCGATCATCCCTTTCAACCAAATCAAATGAAACCAAAACCATAATAAATTTGAAATTAAAATCAAAACCAAACAAAATCCTAAAGAACAATAATAACTACATGTACTCCATTCGTTTTTTTTTAAATTGAACTGAATGTAAGAACTATAGCTTCGTCTGTTCCCATAATGAAGGGGGTCTTCGTTGTTTTGGCATTACAATCGTTTTTACTAAAATTAAAATCAAAACCAAATAAAAACCCCAAACAACAAATCGTTTTTACTGTTTGATGAATTACAATCATTCCTCAAATGAAGACAAAACTACGAAAATGGTCCTTATGGTTTGCAAAACTTGCATGAATGGTCATTTTTATTGAAGCCGTCAAGTTTCATCCGTTAGGGACTGAATTCGTAAGGGCATTTTCTTCCTTTCATGTATAAGATGGATTGAATTCGTGACATTTAGTAAACCATACGGACCATTTTTGTAATTCATCTTAAAATAATACAAATGCTAGAAAATAAGAGGAGAATTCAAACTCAAAGGCTTAGCCAACTAGGTTAGAACCAAACTTGTTTTATATTTCCGAAAACTAATTAATATTATCTAAAAGTCGTAAATACATTATTAATAAAAAAATTTAAAAAACATATTTTTACAAAAAAAACTTTTTTTAATAAAACAAGATATATTTTTAGCGTAACGTAAAAAATATATTTTTTACAAAACAATTTATATGTTTTTTTACATATTTGTTTGATGTAAAATATAATTTCTATGTATTTAAAAAAACTACATTTTCGTATAATACGTTATTACATTGTTATGATCCTATGTTTTCATAAAGAAATAATTTTTTTTTCTTTTTTTTGCTTTCTCATAGAAAAAAAATGTTTTTTTACGTATTTATTTTATGTAAAATATGTTTTTATATATTTAAAAAATACGTTTTCGTATAATATGTTATTACATTGTTATAATTCAAAAATATACTTTTAAAAACATAAAAAACGCACTAACATATTATATAAAAACATATTTTTTTAAATACATAAAAAAATACGTTTTCGTATATTATATTATTACATTGTTATGATCCTAAAAGATATTTTCATGTTTTCATAAAAAAAAGGTTTTTTTTTTGCCTTCACGTAAAAAATAATTTTTTTTACGTATTTATTTTATGTAAAATATGTTTTTTTTACGTATTTTAAAAATACGTTTTCGTATAATATGTTATTACTTTGTTATAATCCAACACTAAAGACGTTAAAAGTATATTTTAGGTTATAACAATGTAATAACATACGATTGACAATTTTCGACACGACCTGCGACACGACATGACATAAATGAGTTTGTGTTGAGTTTTTCAACCCGCCAACCCACCAACCCGGTAATCCGTTTATTAAATAGGTCATATATGAGTTTCTAAAAATTAAATGGGTTGACCTGCCAACCTGTTTATAGTTTTAATAAAAAAAATTATATTATTTTTAAATGTATCAAATATTAATATTTAATAAGTATTATATACCACTGATTCATAATTCATTCACCATTTGACATTTTAACTCGTGCAGGTGGTCGTAACGACGTAACCTGTAAGGCTCAAAGACTGTAACCATTTTGCTCATTTGCCCTAAAATCTAAATAATCTCAAAATCAAATCCGCAAATCGCGTAACTTCCACTTCCAAACTTCCAGTCTACCGGTGACTCGGTCACTTACTCTCCCCTCTGGGATCGAAATCAAGTATCGAAATCAAATCCGCGAACCTAAAATTACATCAACCATCAAGAATTTATCCATGTTTAATTATCAATTTTATTTATGGAATCAGATCCACGAACCCGCCAACCTGTGAAACCGTAAAAATAAATGGGTTGGCGGGTCATATATGGGTTTATGTTCCAAACCCGCCAACCCATGACCCGCCAACCTGCGACCTGTATAATAAAATGGGTCGTGTTCGGGTTGACATATTTTGACCCGCCAACCCGAACACGACACGATTGTCATGCCTATAATAACATATTATACGAAATGTGTTTTTTAAATACATAAAAAAACATATTTTACATAAAATATATACATAAAAAAACTTTTTTTTCTATATGAAAGGAAAAAAAAATTTGTTTTTATGAAAACGTGAAAATATGTTTTATGATCATAAGAATGTAATAACATATTATACGAAAGCGTATTTTTTTCTAAATACATAAAAAAATTCATTTTACGTAAAACAAATACGTAAAAAAACATATAAATTGTTTGTAATTTTTTTACAATATGTTAAAAATATATATTGTTTAACTAAAAAAAGTTTTTTTTTTTTTTTTTTTTTTTTTTTTTTTTTTTTTTTTTTTTTTGTAAAATTATGTTTTTTAATTAATGTATTTACGATTTTAGATAATATTAATTAGTTTTCGGAAATATAAAAAAAGTTTGGCTGTAGCCTAATTGGCTAAGACTTTGGCTGATTAAGGAAAGGGGGAGGAGGTCCCAAGTTCGAAACCTCCTCCGCATGCATGTTTTGCAAACCACAAGGACCATCTACATAAAAAAAAAACAGGGACTAAGTTTGTGACCTTTAGTAACCACATGATCTATTTTTGTAGTTTTGTCTCAAATTAAAGAAAACCAAGCAAAACCAAACCAAAATAAAAGCTTGAAAGCTTCGTCTTCTCCGATTAGCTTAATCTTCTCTGACAAGCATGGTGCTTGTCACAGAAAAAAAAGACTTAAAGAAAACATAGCCGCCACTTATGGTGTTGTTAAGAGAGTTGTACCTTCTGAAGATCAAGGAGAGAGATTGATTGAGGTAGTGTCGATGTTCTCCGACGACTTCTTGCTCGAGTGTTGTGGTGATAATTGACTCACGTACTCTTGAAGGCGGTGTTGTGCTGATCAACAATAAGAGTCGGTAGAAAGGAGGCAACGACGACGATACGGTGGTATATGATCTTTGGAGATGTCGATGGGTTGGTTTAGCATCAAAATTTGACCACTTGGATGAAGGGAGTGCGTACAGAGTTGGTATGGATGTATGGTGGGGTGGGGAACAATGGTTCAAGGAGGGCGGCAATGCTTTAGTAAGGGAGGGTGACAATCTAGTTCTCGCTGATTTAGGGTTTAGTGTTAGAGAAGAGAGATAGAGTGATATAGACAGTGACTTTAGGTGGGTCGGAAAGGGGGGGGGGTTGTGTGTTTATTTTTTAAAATTCGAAATGATAAAAATAAAAAAAAATTAAAAAAGAAATATATAATGATATAATAGTCATTTTATTTTTTATAAGTATTCAACACACAACAAAATAAAAATCGTAGCCGTGTTAAAGAAAGATTAAATAACAAACACATAAATTAATCCAAACTATATTAGATTATTCGTATAACATGTTGTAAAGGAAGCTTAAACTTCTAGTTATCTTGGGCTCACTAGTCAGTTTAACGGGCTGGCCTGATGTGCATGCGAGTAGGCCTGATGTTGGGCTAGTGTATGCTGATCAGTTGAGGTCGTAACTCGTAAGTGGTAACGTTTACCTGATTTCTGCCTTCCATCTTTTTCTTCAGAAACAATAACGACCCACCACCACTGTCGTCTTTCCCAAACCCTAGATCAAAATAACGTTGCTGCTACCACCGCCTTCACCACCATTGTTTACACCTACCAAAACACCGTTTCCTCACCACTTGTATCACCGATCATCTTCTTTCCAAGCCCACACCACTCTCCGGCAACGAACCTTAAACCTCATTTCGAAGAATAAAATAGGTCAGATTTGTGTTTCTCGTCGCTCACAATTTATTTTTTGATTCTTGAAGGATTTTGCTCTAAGTTTTTTTGATTTGAGTAAGGTTTTTATAACTTCACTGAATTTTGCTCTAAGTCTTTTAATTGTAGTTGTTTCTTTATGTGGTATACTTTGTATATTACGACATTTTCAGCCTAGTTCATAAAAACGAGGATTGTAAGGTTGTTTTATGTATTAGGGGGGTCATGAAGACTGTTAAAAGCATCTATAAATTGGGTCAAATTGTTGAGCTTAAGCAAGAAATCGAGATCTTAAAACAGAAGCAGCTTACTGAGGACGATTTGATTGAAAATCTAGACATTAGAATTTCCAAGCTTAAAAAGGAAAACTCTCAAAAGTCAAAACAAATTTCTGATTTACAGCTCAATCTCGGCGCTCTCACTGCCGGATTCTTTGACTTGGAAAACAAATTAATCAGTGAATTTGGCGACAAGTTCAAAACATCTGCATTTAACGACAAGTTCAAAACATCTGCTACTGAGGCTTCTCAAGACAATATATCTCCAAGTGTACCTGCTCCAGCTTGTCAAGATGTTTCTCACCAAACCAGTAGAACTCGCATTGTTGATTGTTTTGATAAAGAATCTGCTTCAGCTGATCCCAGATTAATTATGAAACAAGCTCAGAGACAAGTCAAATCTCAAGGAAAAGGAAAATTACTCTTCATGAAAAATTCCGATAAAAACATCCGAGGAGATCGCCCGCAACTGAGTGTCACTGAGCTTGACAGAAAGAGGTTCAAAACCAAGTACGGAGATCGAACAAGAATAAAGGTGTGGGGATTTTATGCCGAGAAGAACATCTGGGTGATTAAAAGGAATAGTGGAAATGTGGAGTATTATAAGCATCACAATGATTTTTGCTCTTGGACCAAAATAGATTTTACAGAACTATCTGATGCTCCTTTCCACAACCCATCGAATGATCCTCGAGGGACTAATTTTAAGCTCTTCTTGGAAAACCAAGTGAAGAGAAAATTCGATGGGATGAAAACTGCAGAATCTTTTGTCAAGAAAACAAAGGGCGTATTTAATCCCAGCTCCAACCGTACCATAAAAAATGTGATGTGGCCTCCTGCCAAACAAATGAAACAAAATCCTATTATTCAACAGTTACCTGACGGGCCTCCTATCGAACAAATGAAAGAAATTCCTATTATTCAACGGTTACCTGACGGGTCACTGCAGAATATGGAATACTGGGTATTTGATGAGGCCACAGCCACCGTTGTCATCGAGCTCCCGACTCGGGGGATTCGTCTTCTTGAAGCAAAGGATCTTCTTCAGTTCGGTGAGCGGGATATCCGTACTTTGGCGAGACATCAAATTGTGGTCAATGATGATATTCAGGAGATCGCCGCTAAAGAATTCACTGGAATGGTTGGTGAAATTATCAACAAGAAGATGTGGCTAGGTGCCTTGGGAAGGTCAAATGTGTTGGTTGTCTATAGGTCATGAGCTTAACAAACTAAGGGGGAGATTGTTAGGACATATTTATGTTGGTTTGTGCTAGACTTTTATGTTTTATAAGCATTTCTTGTTTTGTTTAGGGCTTGATTTGAGTTTTCGGTGGGGTGGACCGAAAACGTTCCGTTTTCGGTCCTATGGCGTTTTCAGTTGGAAATTAGGTTGCTGTTTGTGTTCCCTATAAATAGGAGACTTAGATGATCGATTTTGGGTTAGCTATTTTCGGTCATTGCTGTGTGTAAGATCCTTTGTACCTGAGGTTAATATATAATCGTGTGCATTTGGATCGATATTGCTTCTTCTTCTTCTTGATTCATTCTGATTTGATTCATTGATATTGTTTGATCACTAGTTGGTTCATTATTTAGGGACTTACAGTTTATGTTGCCAAAAATTTTGTTAACATTTTTATTTAAAGAGCCGTAAGTTGTATGTTGTATTGATATCACGTAATAGGGTTACATAGACATATATATAATATTAACAATTACATATAAGTACCCTCTAGTCTATATTATTGTAATTTTGTCTAATACGCCCCCGCAAGCTAAGGACGGGGAACGACCTGCAGCTTCGATCGAAGAGATACAAATCTTGGAGTTGGCAGCGGCTTTGTGAAGATATGAGCTATTTGATCATGCGTTGATATGTGTTGAACTCGTAGTTCTCCTTTAGTAACCTTTTCTCTAACAAAGTGAAAATCAACCTCCATATGTTTCGTACGAGCATGAAAGACTGGATTAGCAGAAAGGTAGGTTGCACCAAGATTGCCACACCACAAAACGGGAGATGAGAGACTATTAACACTAAGTTCACGAAGAAGAGCTTGAAGCCAAGTGAGCTCAGCAACCGTGTCAGCTAGGGCTTTGTATTCGGATTCTGTGGAAGATCGGGAAACAATACGTTGTTTTCGTGCGGTCCAAGAGATTAGGTTGGAACCAATATATATAGCAAATCCCCCCGTGGACCGACGGTCATCTGGGTCACCAGCCCAGTCAGCATCCGAGAAAGCAGTCAAATTGTCGGTTCCCTGCCAGTGAGAGTCAGTAAAAGCCTGTAATCGGGTGTTGGAGATTTGGCGAATTAACATGCCATAAGCAACAATGCCATGAAGATAGCGAAGAATGCGTTTGACAGCGAACCAATGATTATCAGTTGGAGCATGCATGAACTGACACACCTTGTTAACTGCAAATGTGATATCGGGCCTGGACAATGTAACATATTGAAGGGCTCTGACGACCTGGCGATACCGTACGGGATCAGAGTAGAGAGGACTGTCATTAGTTGCCAAAGGAATGGAGGTAGTCATCGGAGATGGAGTTGGTTTGGACTCTGACAGGCCAACTTTTTGTAGTAGTTCCATAATGTATTTTCGTTGAAAGAGGATGATGTCAGAACCCCGGGGAACAATTTCAATGCCCAAAAATATGAGAGATTGCCGAGATCTTTAATGGCAAATGTGACACTGAGTTGTGTAATAATTTTGTTGATGACATCACTGTTGTTACCCGTGATGATGATATCATCAACATAAATTAACATGTAAATAGTGATGCCGGTGTGGGAGTAAATGAACAAAGAAGGATCGGTTTTGGAGCCTTTGAATCCGAGAAGGTGAAGAGCTTGTGTAAGTCGTTGAAACCAAGCTCGAGGAGCCTGCTTAAGACCATATATCGATTTGTGAAGCAGACATACATGGTTCAGATGCTTTGGGTCAATGAAGCTTGGTGGTTGCTTCATGTACACAGTTTCAGTGAGTGTGCCATGCAGAAAGGCATTCTGAACATCAAGCTGTCGAAGGGACCATTTTTGGGTAATGGCAAGAGAGAGTAGCACTCTAATGGTTGTAGATTTAACCACGGGCCTGAAAGTCTCGTGATAATCGATGCCCGGTTGTTGACGAAAATCTTTTGCAAAAAGTCTTGCTTTGTAGCGAGTGACAGCTCCATCCTTGTCTCGCTTTAACCTGTAAACCCACTTGCAATCAATAATGTTAGTATTGGGTACCGGAGGTACCAGTGACCAAGTGCCATTGTTTTGTAATGCAGAGTACTCGTCTTCCATGGCTTTGCGCCATTCAGGAGATTCATTGGCAATAGAGAAGGATGTTGGTTCAGTAATGGAGGTGGTGGTGTGATGAGCACTCGGTTGAAAGGGAACCTTTTGTTTCGGGTTTTGGCGAAGGTGGGAGGGACGAGTACGGGGTGTAGGTGCTGATGTAGATTTAGGTGAGGTTGTAGGTGATGATGTAGGTGATGGTGAGGGTGAAGGTGGTGACGGTTGGGAGATAGGAACTGTGGATGGATGGGGTGAACTCGAGGGTTGAGTGGCGGGTGGGTGAGATGTAATATGATTCTTGGCAAGAGGAAAAGAAGATTCATCGAAGTAGACATGACGAGCTATATAAATCCGATCGGAAGATAAGTCAAGGCATCTGTAGCCATGATGAAATGAGTTGTATCCAAGAAAGAGACAAGGAGTAGATCGAAAATCCATTTTGTGAGGATTATAGGGTCGTAGGTAAGGAAAGCACAAACAACCAAAGACTCGAAGGAACGAGTAATCAGGTGGGCGTTTAAAAACATGTTGGAATGGAGACTCGTTGTGGGATGTGCGAGAAGGCATCCTATTGATGAGGTAAACAGCTGTTTCAAAGGCAAAATGTCAAAAGCGTTGAGGAGTGTTTGATTGAGCCATTAAGGTAAGACCTGTCTCGACGACATGTCGGTGTCGTCGCTCAACAAAACCATTTTGAGCACTAGTATGGGGGCATGATCGTTGATGAACAATGCCGAGTGATGTAAGGAAGGAGGACGTGTTGCGAAATTCACCACCCCAATCAGTTTGAACTTTCTTTAGTTTTGTAGAAAATTGTCGTTCAACTGTCGTGACAAAAGTTTTGAAAAGATTGTAAACATCAGATTTTTGAGACATTGGAAAAAGCCACATATATCTAGTATGATGATCAACACACAATAAAAAGTAACGATGGCCATATGATGAAAGAACAGGAGCGGAACCCCAAACATCACAATAAACAAGATCTAATATATTATTGCTTCGAAAAGAAGAAACAGGTAAAGATAGTTTTGATGATTTGCCTAGTTGACATGAAGAACAGAAACTTGGTAAAGTTTTATTTGTAACAGGAAGCGAAAAACTAGAAATCATAAATTGAAAGAGACGTTGGTGTGGATGCCCGAGTCGTCTATGCCAAGTTGTGGAAGATGCACGAGTTGCAGAAAAAACTTGGTGATGAGTGGATCGAAGTTGTGGCAGACGAAGGGAATAGAGACCTTGCTCACTGGGGCCCGTGAGAAGTATAGTGCGTGTAAGCTCGTCCTTAACAACAAAAAAAGTAGAGTGAAATTCAAAGAAAACATTATTGTCAATGCAAAATTGTTGAACAGAAAGTAGATGTTTTGTGATGTTGGGTACGTGAAGAATTTTTGAGAGATGAAACGTTTTATTTGGTGAGTGAAAGCGAGATGAACCAATATGAAGAATATGGAGTCCCTTACCATCACCGACATGGAGGTTGTCATGGCCATGATATGCGCGGTTGTCATCCATGCTTGCTAGATCCGGCGTGACATGGCTGTTGGCACCGGTATCGGGATACCAAGTGGCTGATGTGGAGGGTATGGAGGCGGAGCTGTCAACAAAGTTGGATGTGGGCCTGTTGCGGATTGTGGAGGGATCACGGTTGGGGCACTGAGATGGTAAGTGACCAATACCACAACAGTTGCATGCGCCAAGAACAATATTCTGGTTGGAGGCCCTGCTGAAGGAGCGAGTACTATCACCACGATTGTTGTTACTACGGCTGTTGTTGGTGCCACGGTAAGAGCCACGTTGCCCTCTGTTGTTTCCACGGTTGTAGGTGGGGGGCTGTCGAGAACCATATAAAGCTTGAGAGGTGGCTGGTAGTGTGCTGGAGGGCGAGATTGGTTGAAGTTGGACACCAAGAGCAGAAGCTATCGGTCCTAGTTGAGCAGCGAGAGAAGCCATCGATCATTGGTGTGTTTTGTGAGTTCTTGAGTGGCATGAAAGGCTTGAATGGAAGGCTGTCGGGATTTTGCAATCATAAAGTCATGATCACTTAACAATGCGTGAAGTTCAGTGAAGGCAGTGGGACATTGGCGGGCGGTGATGGTGGACTTGAGACCGTTGTATTCATCGCGAAGACCAGAAACAACAAGCATGGCAAGGTCTTTATCCTTGACTGGTTCACCAATGGCGGCTAGGGCATCATCATATTCTTGTGCTCGGTTAAGGTAAGCATCAGGAGTCTCATCTCCTTTCATCTCAATCCGCAAGAGTTGAGTTTTTAAAGTGTATTCTCTAGAAGATGAATGTGGTGCAAAGGCACGTTCTAGAGAGGACCACAGATCATAAGAAGTGTCACCTTGTACATGACGGAAGGCTGATTCAGAGATGGTAGAGATGATCAGCATGCGAATGTGCGCATCATTGGCGATCCAAATTGAGTAATTTGGATTGTCTCGTGGTTCTGGTTTGGGATCAGCAGCAGTGGCAGCAACAGGTGGGAGTTGTTTGGGTGGGCATGGAATTGTGCCATCCACATAATCGAACAACTTGTGTGCAAGAAGAAAAGGATGTATGATATTCTTCCAGTAGCCATAGTTGGTTGGTGTGAGGTTGAAGGCAAACTTGTGAGAGTAGTGGGATTTTTTTCATCGGTTGTGAAGCTGGCAATAAGAGCCATGATCGCTGAGAAGAATGGTGAAGAAGATCGATGCTAACCCTAGCTGTTTATTGGATTGAGTGGGGAGCAAGAATCTTTCGGCTCTGATACCATAAAGAGCCGTAAGTTGTATGTTGTATTGATATCACGTAATAAGGTTACATAGACATATATATAATATTAACAATTACATATAAGTACCCTCTGGTCTATATTATTGTAATTTTGTCTAATATCATTCGATAAATTTGATTTTGTTTGATGATGATGGTGTTGGATTTCTTGTGGTTTTTCTTGCTTTATCCCTTTTTATATGGTGTTAACACTCTTCTTTTTCTACATAATTGTTGGAGTCGTTGAGATTGAGAAAACATCGACTGTCGAATGACATCATGTGGTCGACGCAGTGCGAAGTTTTTCTTTGTTTCGAAGGTGGCTATTGTGAAGAGGTGTTGGTTGCTTGTCAAACAGTATTCAATACTCGTCTAGTACTCATTTAGAGCCTTCTTGAAGACTATATCATTACTTTCCCTGCCTTTTCGGGACAACGATAAATTGTTGTAGATGC